TTTTCATTTATTTTATTTTTTACTTTTTTTTTAAATATTCTTCCTACAACTAACCCATCCGGTGTTTCTCGTCAATTTTCAATTGGAATTTTTTTTTTAAACACATCCATATGTGTAAACACCTTGAATGAGATAAAATAAAAATGAGAGATAAGTAATTATATGATTGGTGATCCAATATAACAAGAGCGAGATGAAGATAAATATTAGGCATCAATTGCATAGTATTTGATTGAAGAAAATGGAGGGAGTTCGAGGGAATTTGGGGTGACTAAAATCCATCCTCATGTTATTTTAGCTACCTTTTTTTATATCTAAAATTTCAAAATAAAAATAAAATAAAGTTGTTTATATAAATTTTATATTATGAATTTGATTAATTTATTCAATTGAGTTTTATAATATAAATAAAAAAGATTTAATTTGTTTATTTACTTAATTAAAACCCTAAGAGTGTTTTTAAAGGAAATCCTATATAGAAACATTGAAGAGTGCATGGAGTAACGATGGAGATAATAGAAGGACATGCTTGTGTTGTCAGAACCCGAAAAATAACCATCTTACCCACAAATGATTTAGACTTCCTTTTTGAAAATCTCATCAATTAGGAAATGCTCGGAAACTAGACTAATCCCTGACTAATGATTTTGAAAAGAGTTCATGGAGTCACCATCAATGTTTTACTCAAAACAACGGAAAAAGAAAAAGATTTTTCAAAATTATAATAATGACTTTCATAGTCAGAATTGAGTTTGGGGGTTAGTTACATGCAAGGAAGATGTTAGGCACTCTACAACGTCCTAATTCGATACCCTACGGCGAATTTAGCATAATATAGAACAATAACTTAAATATTTAATTCCCTTTATTAATGGTTATTTACATTCTTAAATTTAAATTACGTGATTAACCTTAAGATGTATACATGGTTACTTTTATTTATGGCGATAATTACGACAGATATGATAGGTGATAGAGAAAGACTTTGATGAAATACCTCTTGAACGCACTTTATAATACGAGCTTCAATGTGGTAGCCTTGAGGTGCTTTTTGGCTACCTTGCACATTACAATTTGCCTTACAAATCTCAAGAAATATAAGGATAGAGGAGAAATAGAATATCTGGACTATCTAAGACTTTAATAGACTAATTTCGTTCTATTATGGCTCCCTCAACACTGCGTAAAAGGAGTCTATTTATAGGCACGAAAACCAACCAGAATGGTTGTTCTGATTATCGAAATGGGGCACTTCGAGTGAGTTTCTTACGAGTAAAATTTGAATCTGGAACGGCCCGTTCTGAAATTGGAATGGCCCATTCTAGATTTCAATTTTACTCGTAATACCCTGGTCAAAATGGCCTGTTCTGGATTGGGAATGGCCCGTTTTGACCTAGGGTTTCTAGGCCATTTTAGAAACTTGGAACGGCCCGTTCCAAGTTAGGAACGGTTCCTTCCACGCTCCTAATTCGACTTCTTTGGGCTTTCAGGCCTTTTGATGTCCTCCTAGTCCATTCTAATGTTAATGGGCCATTCCAGTGTTGCATTGGCTTGTTGTGATGCCCTATTTGGGCCTTCGGAAACTCATTTGACTTGTACTAAAGGCTCATTTTGTTATTTGCATGTCCCGGATGAAATTAGTTGTCTATAGGTGTCTCAAAAGTTGTCACCTAAGATAAGCGAAATGTGAATGTCTCATTCATGGCACATATGACGGATATGATAGTGGGACGATCCTTAAGTCTTTTAAGTTTATGAATTGGAATTCTTTTGATGCATGTGGTTGTAATTTTCATGGTTGCATTAATAATGTGTTAAATTGAATTATATAAGGGTTTTGAGGTTGTATCATTTATGAGTTTTGGCTAAATTAACTTGATTGGAGTGAATTGATGTTAAATAATTGTTTTAAGTGATATATGACTATTTTACCAATTGATCAGAGTGTGTGGATGAATAAATGAATTTAGATAAATTTTGGAGACCCTAAATTATGAGGTTCGTGATTCTATGATGTGAAAGATCTTCGAAAATGTTGGGCACACATTTAATAAGTTGGGCATGGTGAGTTCAATTTTTCGCACTTGGTATGTAGAAGGCACACTAGGTGTAGGAACCACAAAGAGGTCTTTCTCAAAGGCTGATGTCAGGCGTGACTAGGATTACGCCGAGCACAAGAACACCAGAAAGGTTCTTGACTCCTCCACGTTAGGTGTTGGAGTAGTCATGTTGGGTGCGAACGCCATAAAAAGGTCCTTGACCACTTTGCACTACGAGCAAGTCTAGTCTCACCAAGTGCCATGTCGCTAATGAAAAGGAAAGTGATAGTTAAGAGTAACAATTAGTAGAGGAGCCTATGAGGAGTGATATTATTAGCTAGAAATTAAAGGAGATAAAAATAGTTTATAATCGTGAGTAATTAAATAAAAGGAAGAAAGAAATAAGAGTGATGATAAGGGAAATAAATGATAGAAAGAAATAGGAGAACACGATAACTATAATTGAGTAAATATTTATAAAAAAAGAAGAAATAAGTGTGATGAAAAGAGATAGTAAAAATACAAGATGAGATGAGTAAGTTTCGTTAGAAGCTTAAAAGTGATAAAATCCATGTAGATGCTTGACATTTTGCTGGAGAAGTCTAGACAAAAAGGTCTAGCAAGTTGGTGATGTGGGTATCATTGCATTGTTGTTGTGTTGATAATGTTGTGTGGAGTCCATGCATTCGTGGATACTTCATTATGAGGTGGTGTGAATCTATGTAGGAGGGTCTCTATGGTCTTCTACTTGGACCTTATGGTGTTATAATAGGGAGTCCTTAACAAGTTCAGGGAGCAACTATTATCGATTGCTTCTATTAGATCCTGATAGATCTCTCCTAATTGAGAGTGGATTGAGAGAGTTACTCAGTGTCTTGGTGATCCAGACCATGTGTTCCTTAGCTTCCTTGAATTGGAGTGTCTTTTGGTGATGCTAAATATTAGTACCACGTGCATATAGAATTAAAAGCATAAGTTACACGAGTCTTTAAATAGGGATGTGTATCCTCACTCATCTTATGTTTGTTTTGTTGTTTCTTGTTTAGGATGATCGTCAAGTAGGAGTAGGCCAGGTATATGAGATCAAACATGAGGGAGATGAAGCTTAATTCTTTAGTTTGAGGTTTTTAGCTAGATTTTGTTCTAGTAGTGTGACATTGGGGCTAGAGAACATTATAACATTTTCTTTAGTTATGTTTTAATTTAGAATTGTTTAAGGTTTAGGGTTTAGGGTTATGTAAAAGGTCAATTTGTGTCTTCAATTATAAACTCTTATTATGTTTATTTTTTTTAACTTTGAGGAATTTTATTGATGACATGTGAACTCTTTTACAATAAGTATTAATGAAGTTTTTATATTATCTTTTCTAATTAAACATATTTTTTCTCAATAATCTTTTATAACAAACGCTTGAAATAGAAAGGATTCACACCCCTCCAATATCATAGGAATGTCAAGGAGAGATGAAAAATTTTAAAACATTTTTAATATATAATATCTAAAATATCATTACTTAATTAAGTTTTTAAATTAAGGATTATAATTATTCATAAGTCAATTTGTTATCTTCTGTCATTTTCTTTATATCAAATAAAATTTCTAACTCCATCTTACCTCTCCTTTCAACTAAACAAAATTTCTAACTTTTACCGTTATTTCCACTTTATCCCCTTGCCTAAAATTTTCCTTGCCCTACCCTCATTTAAAGCAAACGGATCCTTTTCAAATTTTTGGACCCAAATGATCATCACCGACAATGAACAAATTGCCTAGGGCCTTTCATTTTCATCGACGTGTAGGCATTCGAATTATTTTTTGGTACAATGGTGTTACGAGATATCAACGTATGACTTCGTACAAACTATTAAAGCATCTTGCCACTGAACTAATTATGTACAAGAAAGGGATTCATCTTATAATTATTTTGGGGAAGGTGGACTCTTGTGTGTGCCTGATTTGCATAGCCTTACGCCCTTAACACTTTTGTGGACAGAATTTCATTAAATTTTCCGTCACATAAAGCAGTAACTGTCACACCACGCAGGTAGTCACATTTGCCCAATGAAAAATGTGAATATGTAAATTTCACATTTGCCATTAATTGAAAACTTCAAGACTTAAAGATAATGATATGGAAAATGTGAATATGTAAATTTCAAAACTTCTTCTCATCAATGTTAAAATATACACTAAAATATAAAAGTAAACATATTTTAAATTTTAGTTTTGAAGTTTATAAAAATAATTTAAATAATGAGATATTATTTTACCCTTAACAAAGACAAACATGTCAAAAAAATAAAAAACAACAAAACATACACTAAACAATTAGAATGTTTTGCTTGCCACTAAACTGGACATTACTCTAGAGATTGCCCTAACAAAGCTAATCTTTTTACAAAAGAAGCAGAATTAATAAAAAGTTGAAGGATGAATCTCATTCCTATAGATGAAACTGTCTCAACTGATTCAGAAATATATTCTGTAGTTAGTTAGTCTAATTACACTTCTGAAGAAGAAAATGTAATGAAAGACTATAAAATTATAAATGATTTCACTAAAAATGAATACAATATACACTAAAATATAAAAGTAAACATATTTTAAATTTTAGTTTTGAAGTTTATAAAAATAATTTAAATAATGAGATATTATTTTAACGATAATTTGTAAATATCTTTTTAAATTAATTAATATCAACGAGCATTGGTTGAAAAAACTATAAGAAGATATATTTTTATTACACTCTAAGAGGATTAGTATTTGATTATGGATTAAGAGGTTTTTTTTTATAATCATTTATTAGAATCCACTTATTACAATATTTAGTAAAAAAGTCAGGTTATTATATGAAACAGAAAATATCTTCTTTTTTTTTCTCCAAGAATTATGATTTAAAATTATTATAACAAGAGGGGAGTAGAAGAAAAATAAATACAAAAATTATCAGGTAATCTGCTTACTCCTACAATGCTTATTTGTTATACACTGTTTCATTTTTCATTTTATAAGTTTCAAAGATATGATTATGAGCAACAGAAATAAAGAGTTGTCAATAAAGTGGCCACGTTGGGTTGAAATAGCAGATCCCACCATAACCTTCTCCTCCTATCCCATCCATCTCTTGTATTTCATGTGTGCTAGCACTCCTCTGGAACACACAAGCCGCACTTATAAGCATGCTAATAATAATTAACCTATTTGTTGCCTTAACTTTACATGAATCACACTATGAATAGGATGGCACATAATTATTGTTTTCCTAAATAGGTAATATTATAGAAAGAAAGAACTCAAATAAGGCATGTTACTAATTAAAGGGTATACCTGCATGATTTCAGTGGCATCCATCTCAGTACTGCTCAAATCAAAATACATACTTGCTGCTGAAAGCTTCATGGATAGAAACTAGAACAGAAAATAAAATTTAACTTATATTCAGCATTAATTTAATTTAACCGTACAAAAATGAGAAATCGAGATTATTACAACACTCTAACCTCAATTTGCTGCTGTAGTGACTGAACATAATCTATTATCACATCTAACATCACAGCCATTCCCATTGACTGCAAAATCATAGGCATGGAACCAAATTATGACCTCACAAGGACACAGAATACGGAAGAAAGATATTATGATTAGAAAGGATAACTCGGATTCATAACCTTATAGCACCCTGGAACCAACTCCTGTAAATATCTCATCTTTTCATTGATTTTTTCTCTTCTCACCTGACAAGAGAGAGAAAAAACGCTGCAATTTTTCAGTTCATTACTCAATGTAGCTCTTGATTTCTCAATTTCTTTGTTTGTTGAACCTCAAATTAATTGGTTGTGTATAGTAGCTTTTTGACACAATCCAACAAAAATATGAACATAAAAATAAATAAACAAATAAAGGGACTAAAATTTACTACCCTTTCTGCTAAACTGTGGCTATCAGTTGCTTGGCCTCTCTTTGCCCTTACATGGATAACTTCATTTCCTTTCTCTTTAAGTCTGTCATTGTTTATCTTCCTTTTGTTTCCAATCAACTCCTGCAAAATGTAAACAGTGAAGCATAAGAAACCTAAACCTTATTCTTTAAAGTAACACCAAACATTAAAAGTCATAAGTTTATATATGTAGAGTGCACAATGTTTTCTAAACCTTATTCTTTTCAGCACAACCAGTTGCAGATGGAGGAGAAGAATGACCATATTTTGTGCTGTAGACAGAGGTTGATGAAGGAATCTGTGGGATAGGATCTGGGTAATTCTCCGAATGAGTTAAAGTTTGATCTGTTTGGAGATGTGGCTGTTGATCCAAAAAGTTGTCATTGTTGGAGAAAGGCATGAAGAGTTCTTTATTGGTCAAGGTATAATTCTCCACCTTACTCATGGTTCACGAGTTTGACCTCTTTTATGCGGAAACCGTATAGTTCTGTGAGAAAAGAGAAGCATCATTCTGTTTAAAAGGCCTTCCCCTTCTATTTATTTTTACTTTTGATGAATAATTATATAAATACATAATAAATTTAACATTCTAGAGCGTAAAATAATATAATTGAAATATATATATCAATCATATATTCATATTCTTATATCATTGGATATCAATATTTGTGTCAGATACATGGAATGCAGATAATATAGGAGCGTACACCTAGTATTATTATTCGTGATATCGTGGAAGTCGAGAAATTAGTAGCGGTTCGAAATCACGTTTCAAATTATAGTAGTCACATGTAAATGATATAATAAAGTACAATTCCAACTTTTCTCTTTAATCAAAAATCTTAAATGCATCTCATAAAATAATCAATTAGAATCATGCACTAATGCAAAAATTGGATTTAAAATCAGAGTTTTAAGATCGGTTATAAGGTGACCGATCATAAAAGTGACGTTGTTAGTGTCAAAAAGAATTCGGAGATACTCGAAATACAGGGATGCTCGAAATCTTAGGTGACCGGAAAATGGAAAATAAGTTTTTGAAGAGGAGACATACAGAGCCTGAAGAGAATCAAGAGATACGCGAAGACGTTTTTTGTAGAACTCTCGACTCATGAAAAAGACTCACAGCCTTGCAACCTCTCAAAGTACAAGAAAAATCAGGAAACATTCAAGTATGTTTTTCGTTGGTTACTCGAAATCGCAAGGATCCGGATATACACGAGCATACTTCACAACCTCTCAAAATGAAGAACTTAAAGGAGACACGATTTAAAAGCAGTTGAAGTAAATCATGGGATAAGTGTCAAAGATTACAGAACGGTTTGGGGAAGTTATGAACGGTTCCAGGAGTTATCAAAAGACGTGCTCGAAAATGAGCCACGATATGGAAGTTTAGAGTGGTTATGCATTTTCAGAGCACGTCAGATACAGTTATCTTTCCCAAATCTCTATAAATTAACGAGCCATGCTCGTAGCAAAGGGTCAGAAATCACACACCCACAACACCTCACACGCATTCCTCACCTGTGCATAAGGCTCACGTGCATACGAGAACAGCTGGGTACGGTTTCTCGACCACCTTTCTTTTTCCTTTTTTAGCGTAGCATAGCATGGCGTAGTCTAGTGTAGTGTAGTCATCTGAATCAGTTTCGTTATCCTTACGAATTGTAATTCTATTATCATCTAATGAAGGATATGATTTCTACAGTCAATATACATGTCATTTGCTCGGTTCACGTTAACACTTACATGCATGAAATTGATTGTATGATTAACATAGATATTCTGTTATGCTAAAAACAACAAGCATAGATCTTTTGGTATGCTAAAACTGTTGAGAAATTATATTATAATTTAAAATTTAAATTAAATATTTAATATGATTAATCCTTTTTTTTTATATAAAGTTCCAAAAACCAAAAATAGGTTTCGGATTGTACGTGCACCTTGACCAAGACTCACGGTTTTTTCTTTTTCCTATTAGTTAGCACAGTACATGCACTTGTTTTCGAAAGTTTTGCAAAACAAATTTTAAAACTTTTGCACATACTGTTGAAGCTGAAAAAAAGGGAATCCAATTGTGCCTATATACATATATTAATACGTGAGAAAAATAGAAAAAACACACACAACAAGTTTATTTGATCTCTCTCCCTCAATATTATTTTTACTATAAAATTATAATTTTTGAGCGGTGTTCTTTGGTTCAGGGATTTTTCGCTGCACTCGAACGGTCTAACGGGTTGACGT